CTGGACACTTCACTTTGCCCTGGACTGGCTGGGTCATTTTGTGTGTCTGGCCCTTTGCATGGGTTGTTTCCTCTGCTTGGAATGTCATACTCTGTCTTCTCAGCTTAGCCAATGCTTCGATTATTCAACTCAGGGGCTTTCTCATCTCTCCCAGCTGACTTCCCCCGTGACATCCTATAGCTCTTGAAACACATTCTCTGCTCACAACAAACTCTAGAAGAACAAGCTTCCTAGATCCACCCCTTCTTCCTTCCCAAGCTCCAAGCAGCTTGCCAAACCATCTCTATCTTTTACATTTTTCAGGCAGAAGTCATACAAAAGTTCAATATGGACCCACACATTCCCACAATTGCAAGGGATACAGATCAAGCTCTCAGGGCTGTCCTGTTCGATCCCTTCTCTCTTACCTGAGGTGATGGAGAAGCATCAGCCCCGTTGCTTGGGCTAGATGGAGATAAAACTCACCGCCCAACCTTTCCAAAGAAACCCTCATTACAAATCCTCTCTTTTCCATACATTTTTTATCTCTGATATAGGAGAGAAGTTTAATGAATTGTGTTGTCCCTTTCAGATATCTCCTTTGAAACCCACGCATTGATTTGTGTTGACACTTGCTTTGATCTGATATCCAGCATATATCGTTGGATATGTCTACATGCCTCCCTTCCCACTGCCTTCTTTGTTCCTTCCTACGCTACAGACACTGGGTAGTTTAAAACTACAGTTCTCTTGCAGCCAGGACATTAGACTCAATTAAGTGGCTTGCATGAGATTTGGAAGGTATTAATGGGATGGAAGCCATCACACTGTTGCTGTTTCCTCTTGGCAATCAAGGTCATGGGCACCTAAGATGGGCAGCTGACCTCAGCCAGTCAGTGAATGCTTTCCTAGATATTAAAAGGCGACTGTGGTGGCCATGAGGAATCAACAGAAGAGTCTTCAGCTTCCAGAGGAAGCCAGGGCTGGGTGGTTCATGGGGGTCACCTTCAGAGTCTGCTTGCTTCTGTTTGGCTTCTTTCTTAGCTATTTCCTCTTCCTGCCTCTGTCAGTGTCTCTGTGGTTGAACCCTGTGCCTATCTGATGACCTTGGAAATAGGGAAGGAACATAAGGTCCCCTCCCCCAGAGCAAGTGCATCTTCTAGCACACACTGAGTGAGAACTGTCTGAAGGCAGAGCTGATCAGTTTTACTGTCTTAGGTCCGAGAGTGGCAGAAGAATTCAGACTGCACTGAGAGCCTCAACTGCCTCAGTGTTTCTTGGCTGCTGCTCCAAGCCCCAAGGAGCCTTCCAGAGAGAGAGAGAATTACCATTCTTTGCTTTTAACCGAGGCCCCCGAGAAAGCGCAAAGCATGCATCTTGCAGCATCCCCTAGCAGCCAGAGCCACCACTATGAGTGTGCTTATTTGTATAACCTATATTAGAGTCCAAGCTTCTGAAGGGTGAGGACCTTGCGACTTTTTTTTTTTTTTTTTTGAGACAGAATCTCACTCTATTGCCTGGGCTAGAGTGCAGTGGCATCAGCTTAGCTCACAGCAGACTATGGGCCCCTGCCACAACAGCCTGCTAAGTCTTCTATTTTGTAGAATAGACAGGGTCTCAATTTTTCTTAAGCTGGTCTTGAACTCCTGAGCTTACGTGATTCTCTCACCTTGGCCTCCCAGACTGCTAGGATTATAAGTGTAAGTCACCACACCAGACCCTGACTTTTCTTTTTAATTTCTCACTGTTCTGACCCAATATCTGACATATGGTAGGTGTTCAACATGCATTAGGAATAATAGATTAATTCCATAATTTGAAAACAAATGACTGTGATGCCAGTCTACAAGGAATTTAAACAATTTGTTAGAGAGAATGAGGTCCATATAACCAAACTCTGCCCAGTCATAGAAAGGGAATCAAAATGGATTAAATGAAAAATAAAGTTGTACATGACATGATTATGTTTTTTGTAAAAGAAAAAATGTATAAAAATGAATATGGATAATGATAATAATTGGCATAATGTATATGGTCATTCATCCTCTGACATTTTATTTTTTGTTACATTTCATTTTCCCCTAATGTGTGACATTTTTACGTTTGAGTTAAAAACAACAAAAAGGAATAGAAAGAACACTGCGAACTCAAGCGGCTCATCAGTGAATCATGCCTCGTTTCCTTTTTTAAATATACGGCTATTATGCTGATGATTCACCAAATTCAATTTAATTCAACAAACATTTTTTAAGAGCCTGTCACGTGCAAGGTATTGGGCCAGTGCCAGACTGCTAGAGGTGGAAATGCCAGAAGCAGGGCAACTTCATTTCAGTAAGGCAACAGACAAAGCATTTCATGATCCAGTGATGGATGAGGTAGGGAGGGTGAGTGGTATAAAAGTACGGTGAGGGTGCTCCCACTTAATGGACCCAGTGTAGGGGTGTATGGCATACCTTTTGGGTGAAGAACACAACTACAAGAGGGACTTTACCTAACAAATTAAAATATTGTGAACTGGTTGTTTGTACCCTCATGTTAACCTGAAATAATAAATAAATAAATAGTGAGAGAGTTTTGCAGCTAACAGAATAGCCATACAAACAAAGGGTTAAAAATAAATTATCTTTTGGCAGAAAGCTTCCCATGCAAATCACAGGTACACACCTCTTATACCCTTCTCTAGCTGGTATTTTAATATGTGACTTTAATGAAGAAGAAGGCACAAAGTTTAGAATAACACTAATAGATACAAGAAGCAAGATACAAAAGAATCCGAACAGCCCGAAATTCAAGAAGGATCTCTATTTAGTTTCAAAAAAATCAACAACACAAATTTGTAGAGATTCCCAGCTTAGAAGCAGTTCATATAAAACAAAAAACAAAAACCAAAAAACTGGGGTTTAAATTGACCACAGATTCATCATGAGGCATTAGTGGAATGTGACTGATAAAAACATAGGCTGGGGCAATTCCTAACCTCAGCCATAAATTTAGTGTCCAGATAAGAGGGTGGCAGTTCAATCCCATTCTAGTTAGACCACACCGGAGCTCTATTTTCATTTCTAGGCATCTATTTCACTGTCAGATCATAGTACCCTTGACCTGTTTTTGTGAAGTAATGTTTTCTCATACTCCTTTTCCATCCTGTCTTCTAGCATACTCTAAAAAACAGTATGCTAAAATGAGATAAATAAACTCTACTCTTCTTTTTTTTTTTTTTTTTTTGAGACAGTGTCTCAAGCTGTTGCCCTGGGTAGAGTGCTGTGGCATCACATCATACCAACATCCAACTCTTTGGGCTCAAGAGATCAGAAATGTGTATGGCATACAAAAACATGCAACCACAGGAATGAATACCACTCAACAAGACACCACCATACATTGACACAAACACATATGGGAGAAACTGATATACCAAGGTTATGAAACCTTACTGAGTTGTTTGTACAGTGCTGCTAACCTAAGGGCAAAGTGGCAAGTTCATGAACTTAATTGTCAAACCATATGAATGGTTTCTCTCATTTAAGATCCCCAGTGAATCCTATACTGTGGTGTATCCATTAAGATGTCTCCACTAGGCTCGGCACCTGTGGCTCAAGCGGCTAAGGCGCCAGTCACATACACCTAAGGTGGCGGGTTCGAATCCCCAGCCCGGGCCCGCCAAACAACAATGACGGCTGCAACCAAAAAATGGCCAGGCGTTGTGGCGGGCGCCTGTAGTCCCAGCTACTTGGGAGGCTGAGGCAGGAGACTCGCTTGAGCCCAGGAGTTGGAGGTTGCTGTGAGCTGTGATGCCATGGCACTCTACCCAGGGGGATAGCTTGAGGCTCTCTCAAAAAAAAAAAAAGATGTCTCCACTAAAAGGAGCAGAAAACTCAACTCAAAATGGCATAAAAGGTAAAATAGACTATTGGTTCACCCAATTAAAACAAAAGTAGAACAGGCTTCAGGGTGGTTCAATTTAGGAGTTTAATTACTTTTCCAAGGAGTTCTCTGTTTTCCATCTCTCCACTCTGCCATCCACAGTGAGCGCTTCCAGCTAGGGCTTTCTCCTGTTTTAGTCTCAAGCTAGCTTTCCCTTGCTACGGAGACCTCATATATCTCCCATTCTTATCTAGCAGGACAGAAGAAACTTGTTTTTTTGTATGCAACCAATAAACTTATACAAGTTGATTGATCTGAATTAGGCCAGCACTCACCACTAGGTCAACAATAATGACCTGGAAATGGAATTGCTTTGGCCTGAGACTTCAGAAGTACAGTGGTCTATGGGGGAGAGAGATAGAGACCCTAACAAAAGTCCTAGTAGTTGCCAAGAGAAGAACAGGCTGTCACACCCACCCCCCACCAGGCTCTCTTGGGTACATAGTATCCCAATTTTGCAGAGGAGAAACCAAAGCTCAGGCAGCCTACTGTATAATAATGGAGAAAGGATTTTCACCCTGCTCTACACCAGGAAACAAACTGAAGAAAAGCAAGACTAGTCATCCCTTCACCTTTAGCCTAAACAAGCATGTGTGTGGGAAAGGGTGGCAGGGTTGTCATGAGACTGGGAAAGTCTCAGCTACTCTGTTAGCATCCACCCCACAAGGCTGAGGTAGCTTTGAATCCACATTACCTGGCAACATGCTTAGCTCAGCAATTATTTAAACACAGAAGAGAAAAGACTGCAAATGTATTACCCCCAACGGTGAGTTCTAGAGCACTGTTTTCCAAGTCCATTCTGTGTTAAATCAGTGGTGTGGGCTAGCCTGGGAACCTTGCCACAACACATAACATTTCTCGTCCTGGGGAATGTAGTCCAAGTTCCAAAGGACAGATTTGCAAATAGACTTCTGGAGTACAGCCCCATCCACTGCTGGGAACTGCCTTTGTTTGACTTGTTTATTCAGGAAAGCTGCTCTGGACTTTTACCCAGCAGCTGCCTGGCAGGAGGTGACTTGGCTTTAGCCAACAGAGGGTGGGGCTAATAGGAGAATAAAGCTGATAGCTCCTCTCAGGGCTAACTGGGCACCAGGCTATACCACAGCAAGGGGGAAGGAAGGAGTACAGTGCCACAGGACAGCCAGTCTCTGACAAGGAACCTCATCTAAGGAGCATGAACCTCTCTATCCCATTCTACTTGGAAGTAAGAGACACAAGGTTGACTCATATGACTTGAAAGACTCTTGTAATTTTTGAGGGGCATTGAGCATACATTTCTCTATAAGCAGCTGCTGCTTTTGTCCCTGTTGAGGTCTCTCACAAGGCAGCATTCGGTTTAAGTCATGGCCTGCCGTGGCCACACTGGCCTTCAATATTTCTGTGGTCTCTTCTAAGTGATTTTACTGTTCATGATCCTGGCAAATTTATCCATTTTCTGACAATATTTATAGTCTGATGTAAGTGTGAACTAGATAATGACCTTTCAAGTCATGGCACAGTGTTCTGTTTAAAGCTTTAATTTCTTCCACAGAGCATCTGCAAAGTCCTTTGACCCTTCTGCAAGGCCCCTTGGAAATGTTCCCAAGTTTCCTACCACTCCTATGTGTGCATGGGGGTGGAGGGGAGGCTGAGTGATGTGCAGAACCTTCACGTATCTTGGGTCATACAAGAGTCTAAGCCTACAGAGACCACTCCTTTTGTTCCCAAAGCTCTTGGAGCCCTTGAGATACATAAGGTTGACCAACTAACTCATCTGCAGCATTTCTTTCTCTCTGAACATTTTAGAATTGTCCTCAAGACACTCATGTGAGCACATCACCAGCTTCCCCCAGTGAGTAGTTACTAGGACTTGGCGAACATTTTAAGCTTGACATAGCTAAAACAATACCATATCTGCAGCTTAACTTTAGGTGACTCACCAGACGAGCTATTTTAAACAGAATTTGTAGTGACTAAGATTACATTTGTTCTAGGAAAAACAGATTGAAGAGACAAGAGGCTAATGAAATATTTTTGAAATGCTCTTTTTAAGCTCATAGAAGCCCTGCTGAATTTTCTTGACAGCATCCTAGTTACCAGGCACAACAGAAGATGCAAGAACTGGAACTGGTAATCTAACACGCTCAAGAAACAACCATTTCTTGACCCCAACCAGCAGGAGTGTATATTCACCAGCAGATAGATTTGCAGAAATAGTAATGGTCTTTTCTATCTAGTCACCTGGGAGCCTAGTAAAATATCCTTGCAAAATATCACGTGTCATGCTAGAGCCTTGTGAAAGGCAGAGTTTGCCAGTCACCTGTCCTTCCTTATGGTCTTCTTCAGTTCTCTTGACAATTGCTATACTCTCTTCCCTACCCCAGAGTCCAGGAGTAGATTGGGCTTCCAATTCTGACTTTTGGGCTGAAACTGAGCAAAACCCCAACAGCTGTAAGGAATGAGGGGCTCCCGTTCTACTCAAACAAGGACACAGGTAAGCATCAACCTCATTATTATTCTAAGAAGTTGCTTCCCTTCCTGGCAGGGGTGGGTTGGGGTGGGGAGAAACACAAACTTCAATGCCTGAGAACTTTCAAGGCAATCTTCAGGAGGGGAGAAGAAGCTAAGACCCCTCTCTCAAACCCAGTCCTTCTGATTTTTCCTACCTGCTGGGGGTCTCCCACTTTATTTCCCATTGTCATCACCGTATTAATTAAACCTCCAAACACCCCCACTTCTGGGAGACACTGATACTTTCTTTAGTGGTATACAAATTCCTTCCCTGAACTCTTCTTCACATAGCTGGGAAAGAATGGAACTTTTCCAAAGCCTGTACAAAATTCTAAGGGAGAACAACGGGGACATAAACAAGAAAATACACGAAGCATAAACATGGTCAAACTTATGCAATACATCACCACTGGTAATATTTAGGGAATGAGACATGGAAGGAGGAATGTGGTACATCATAACCTTATTTGATCATTTTCAAGAATTATATTTGATTTATAAGTATATATTGTTTTCTTTTTCTTTTTTCCTTTTTTTTTTTTTTGAGACAGTGTCTCAAGCTGTCAACCTAGGTAGAGTGCTGTGGTGTCACAGCTCATAGCAACCTCCAATTCTTGAGCTTCAGCAATTTTCATGCTTCAGCCTTCCAAGTAGTTGGGAGCACAGGTGCCCGCCACAACGCCCGGCTATTTTGGTTTCAGTTTAGTTTGTTTGACAGGCCCGGGCTGGATTCAAACCCTCCAGCTCTGGTGTCTGTGGCTGGCACCCTAGCTGCTTGAGTTACAGGCCCCGAGCCAGTGATACACATATATTTTGACAGTATTAGTTACACAGTATTAGTTTCGGCCCTGCCATGGCATTCTGGCTCCCACGGTTCACTGGTTCACTGTGCCCGTCAGACTTTCCACCTGATTAGCTCTGACTTCTTTTCTGCTCCTTTCCACCCCCAGCCCTCCCCAACTGGTCTCACAGACTTAATGGGGAGAATAATGGGTGATAAGTTTGATCCTTCATGCAACATGCTACCATGTGCCGGCTATGATGCCAACGCTGTGAGTCTCCCCTTCAGTGCTTATATCCATACCACTCAAACGCTTTTTCTCTTGATAGGAGAAAAGAAAAAAAAAATCAAGGGCCATTTTCTTAATACTTCATTGTGTATCCATCTAAAAAGCCCTAGATCTTACTTTAACAACAACAAAAAAAGGGCACTTAGAATAATATGAAAACCCACTTCATAGGCTCATCGGTTTCTGTCAAAAGATCCTGCTTGAGGCTCGGCGCCTATAGCTCAACCGGCTAGGGCGCCAGCCACGTACACCTAAGGTGGCGGGTTCGAATCCCCAGCCTGGACCCGCCAAACAACAATGACGGCTGCAACCAAAAAATAGCCGGGCGTTGTGGCGGGCGCCTGTGGTCCCAGCTACTTGGGAGGCGGAGGCAGGAGACTCGCTTGAGCCCAGGAGTTGGAGGTTGCTGTGAGCTGTAATGCCACGGCACTCTACCCAGGGGGACAGCTTGAGGCTCTGTCTCCAAAAAAAAAAAAAAAAGAATAAAAGAAAAAGATCCTGCTTGAAAGAATTAGCAACTGCAACAATTACAACAATGAAAAGGGGCTCATTTACATATAAATAGATCGTCCCCAAGACTGCAAAGCGGTAAATCCCACTTTCTGTCTTGGAGCAGCACCAAGCTACTAAGATAGTAAAGGCAAGCAGTCTGTGTCCTCTGGGTCCCTCCAGCGAGATGACTAAGGGCCCTTATGAAGCCCATCTAAGCTTTGACTATTAACTTTCCCACTGCTCTTTACCTGTGCTTCAAGAAGCCACTGTTTTCCTCCTCCTTCTAAACAGCTACCCTGAGCTCACATATTTCCACCTGGGTGGGATTCCAATTGGCTTTTTTCTGAGCACCCCCTTCCTTAATCTGCCTCAGTTTTCTCAAGGAAGACAAAACATTTGGAGATGCCGCAAATGAACCTCATCCCAAGGTTTACAGCCACCTTCGCTGATAAGAGCACTTCCGGAGACACTACCCACTGGCACACCCTGGGACAACAGTCTGTCCTGAAGGAATGTGCTTGCTGTTGTGGCTTTTGAGACATCATCAGCCTGTGAGGAGGAAAAGACATCCAAACCTATAAGCCTCCGGGGCTTTGCTCCAGAGTCTGATTAGCCGGAGCCCTGTGTGCACTCGCTGGGAAGGGTGTCTGGGGTCAGGGCATCTGAGTCCCAGCAAGCTTATACTGAGGGGTGGGGCAGGCAGGACTTACTGGCCTAAAAGAAGAGAAGCTATACGTGTGACATAACAGTTCATCCTAGGAAATGACAGGGCAGCTGGTACATGACTATATAAACATATAGCCCAGAACCCCCCAAATTCTTCCAGACAGCCCGGTTAAAATAAACTAAAACGCAACTATCCTAGAAATCATCTCAAGAATTTGTGCCTAAAGAAACAGCAGGTGGCAGCAAAGCTTTACATTTTTTAGCCATTGGTCTGGAATGAAAACAAAGTGTCACGGAATAATCCCCTCACCCTCTGAGTCAGCCAGCTGGCCCAGAAACTGGCACACTGCCATCTTTCAATCTGCAAAGTATAGAGTCTTCTCGGCTGGACTCTGTGCGTTTTGACAAGAGGACCCAGGAAAAAAGTTCTCCTCTCCCTACCCCCAAGCCAGAGGCCTGCCTAGTTCTGCAGGCTGGGCAGGAAAGAGACTACCACAGGCTGGCAGATCACAAAGACTGTGGCCTTGAGTCTCAGAGTCCTTTTCCCAATATCAAGGTGCTGCTCATTTGCAATGAGAAGAGTCGCAAAGGAACCTGAGTATGATTAAGGGGAAGCAGGTCTAAGAACTAAGGATACACCTCACAACATGTTCCCCATTTATTGTGATGGAATCCATGGCAGAAATGTGGTGGCAGAGAGAGATGGGGGGCAGGGAAGTGAAGCTAATATATCTGGTTTCTGGTGCACCTAGACTTTTAGAGACCTCTGAAAGCTACTTCACCACCCCACAGCTGTTGTAACTCTTGGACAGTGCCAAGACCACTGTCTGGTATGGCCTCAAGTATCTCCCTTGACTTAGTATTGTGGTTGGCTCCCAACTTCCAAGTTGGGACTGGAAAATTTCCATTGCCACAGCGCAGCACTGGAGTTTAGAACCTAGCTTTTGGCAGAGGAAATCCAGTTTTGTCGTTAAGAAGTGACTGGTCCGTTTAGTTTAACCTAAAATGGTGCTTCAGAACTCTCTCAGGCACACTTTGGATCAAACTACTTAATTTCCTCCAAGGAGGAAACTCTCTTACTGATTAAAGTAAGAGCAGGGCTGGGGAGGGGAATGCTGGAGGATTTGGCATTGTTATTATTTTAAAAAGTAAAAGACTTGTTCAGGAAAAAGACAAAATTAAAGACCTTGTTTCCAAGATTGTAAACAGATCATACAAACAGGTGTATTTATGGGTTTTCTTTCTACAAGTGGAGTTGAAAGAAAAGTGAGTAGCTTTGGCCTTTTATAAGTTATATATTAAATCCACAGCAACACAGCTCCTGATGATCAAAAAGAACATTCCTGAAAGGTGTAGTAGAAGCTCATTGATTTATGTGATTATTTTTCTTTTCTGAAAATATGATTTTGTTCTGACATCTTAAGAACAAACTTCCCAGGACTCTACATAGAAAAGGTCCTTTAAAATTATCTAGTAAGGAAAACATTCTGTAATTCCTTTGAATGCAATAAACAATATCTTTTGAGGCAACTTGCAGCATATGTTCCAAAATTCATATCAGCATTTAATTCCTCCTTTGTATGTATGTTCTACACTCGCCAGAATGAGGTTAAATCATTTAATGCAGAGAATTGACAGCACCAGGAAAATATTTGGATTGACTGTCTGGAGTTGCCATTATTGGCTTTAATTATGACCTACTGGCTCTTGGGTCCTGAAGCAGCCAGAAAATGAGATACGTGTGCCAAGATATTCATTAGAATTCCCTCCTCAGTCATTGTTCAGAAAGAACAAGTTTCTTTCTGGCTCCCATCTACAGTGTTTTAAGTGAAGTCATTAATATGCCAGATTTTTTAAAGGCTCAGTCAGTAAACAAGATTATGTGCATACCTTGTATTTTGCGTTAAAATAAAATCTTGAAAAGGTCAAATGTCCCTTTGCTCTCCTTGTATTACTCCACAGAAAGAATTATTTTTGCAGCCATGGAGTTAACTGGTACTCTCCACCCAGACTTTCTCATCCAAGCCCTACTCTCTTGAACCGACTTGATCCTATAAGCTTTGGAACTAGAAGTCCTGATGAAGCACACACAGCTTGAGTCTCCGGAGGAACTAATCAGAGGAGACAGTTTAGCTTCTTCTGTTCTTCAATATTCATTTCCCCCTGAATATAAAATCTTAGAATATTGGAGTTGAAGGAGAGGAATTTTGGAGAGCATCGATTTCACATCCTCATTTTATTTTTTATTTTATTTATTTATTTATTATTTATTTTTGAGACAGAGTCTCACTCTGTCACCCCCAGTAGAGTGCCATGGCATCATAGCTCACAGCACCCTCAATCTCCTAGGTTCAAGCCTCATGCTTCAGCCTCCCAAATAGCTGGGACTATGACCCCCGGCCACAAAAGCCAGCTAGTTTTTCTATTTTTATTTTATTTATTTATTTATTTATTTTTTGCAGTTTTTGGCCAGGGCTGGGTTTGAACCCACCACCTCTGTCATATGGGACCTGTGCCCTACCCTTTTGAGGCACAGGCGCCGCCCAGTTTTTCTATTTTTAGTAGAGATGGAGTCTCACTCTTGCTCAGGTGGACCTGGAACTCCTGAGCTCAAGCAATCCACCCGTCTCAGCCTCTCAGAGTGCTAGGATTACAAGAATGAACCAGATTAATGTAAAGTGTAATGATGCATCCAATGTTTCAGCTTTGGATGCTGGCGTGGGGAAAGCAAGTGCTTTTTGTTTGTTTATTATTCTTTGTAGTCAAGGCATCCTTAGTTATTACTATTAAAAAGAGTTGCCATTTAGGCTCAGCGCCGTAGCACAGTGGTTATGGCACTGGCCACATGCACCGAGGCTGGTAGGTTTAAACCCAGCCCAGGCCTGCTAAACAACAATGACATCTGCAACCAAAAACAATAGCTGGGTATTGTGGCGGGCACCTGTAGTCCCTGCTAATTGGGGAGGCTGAGGCAAGAGAATCGCTTAAGCCCAAGAGTTGTAGGTTGCTGTGAGCTGTGATGCCACCACACTCTACCGAGGGTGACGTAGACTCTGTCTCAAAAAAAAAAAAAAAAAAAAAGAGCTGCCATTTAATGAGCATTACTCTGCACTGCCAGGAAGGGACGGATGCTTTCATACTCACTGTATCACTCATCCTCACAACAGCCCTGTAAGGTAAATATCATCTCCATTTTATAGCTAATGAAACTGAGACTCAGGGTAAATGATTTGCCCACAATTAGAGGGCTAGGAAGAAGGAAAGTCTGTGTGCAAATTCCAGGTTGTCTAACTTCAAAGTCTGTGTTCTTTACATTCCCCGCATGTTGCCTGCCAGATGAAACGAAGCCAGAATGTAAATCAGTTGGAATCTCTTCGGCTCTCACAGCACTTTAATTTTTCAAATAACTGAGTGAAGAAAGAGTCCTCCATCGTGATAAAGTGGAGAGAGACGCCTGTGTTAAAGTGGTCCCCACTCTCCCCAGGAGATCAACAGGGACCATGTAGAGGCAACTATTTTCCATTATCTACTTGTCATGTTAAACATGACAGTTTACTCCGAAAGCTTTTGAAATACTTCCCAGTTTTTAATAAAAGTTGGCTGATTTTGGTGTTGACAATTTGTCTTTCATTTAATAGAAAATTGAGGCAATTTGAGTCAGATGCTCTTTTGGGGGAAAAATAAGTTAGAGGGTTGAGTGTTTTGATGTTCAAGGTCATACAGGGCTGGAACAGCAGCGCTATGAATTAGGGAAGTTTATCTGATGGTGTCGAGAGTGGCGTAGATGATGGAGTTCTTGCCTGGAAATGCTTGAGTTTTTCATGGAAACATGGTTTGGGAAAGAAACGTTGACCTTTAGGAAAAACTAATACAGTTAAGATAAAGTCGGAATGTTCTGTATTAAATTAATGATTATGAGGTGGAGACATTGAGAGGAACCATCTCAGTTTGTTAATCTAGGTGCAGGTGATAACTCTAAACTGAAAATTTATTTTTGCTCACAGAGAAAAATCAGGTACCTCGGTTAGTTATAAATAACCTGCCTTGTCCTTGCTCCCATAATTCCTCTTTGAAAATGAGGTTACTCAAATTCATCTGCAAGTAGGTCCATGCCCGGTCAGGGGAAACTAAGGAACATTGTCTCCAGGCCGGGTTGTTTCAGTATCAAATCACCTCATCCACTCATAACCTGCTTATCTAAGCAAACATCACTCATCTGGACCACTGTGATATCAGTATGCTCAGCATCTGCAATAGGACTCCAGGCAGCAATAATTGTTGACCTCAAATATTGTTAATGAAATAAATAAAGTCCTCTTTGCTCTGAATCAGCGATCCTGTCCCAAGAACCAGCCATAATCCCATGACTCCAGGTCTGAAGCCCTGCCCTGTTTTTACCAATTGCTTTGACAGAGGTATATTCGTTTGTGAGGCCCACAACAAAATATCTCAGACTGGGTGGCTTAAACAACAGAAATTTATTTTCTCACAGTTCCAGAAGCTGGAAGTCCCAGATCAAGGTGGTGGCAAGTTTGGTTTTTTCTAAGCCCACTCTTCTTGGCTTCTAGAAGGCTGCCTTGTTTCTGTGTCTTCACGCATCTTCTTAGAAAGACACCAGTCATATTAGATTAGAGTCCCCCATGTGACTATATTTTGCCTTCATTTCCTCCTGAAAGGTCTTGTCTTCAAAGTCTCATTCTGAGAGAGTGGGTGCTAGGACTTAACGTATGACTTTGGTGTGTGGGGGTGGGCGGGCACAAGACAGCCCATATTAAGGAGTCAATCCAGTCCTCTCTGCTGCCTATGGGGCTTGCATATATTTTGTTCCTAGAATACGCCCTGCTGTGCTCCCTGCCATTCTTGATGCCCTGTGGCTTCTTGCTTTTCCTCCTGGACACCAGCAGCCTACTGTGCAACCACCTGTTGCCTGTTACCTCACCTGGCCTGGCCTTCTTTCCATCACTTCCTGCAACTCGTGTCTTCTCTCCAAACACCTGCCCCAAAGTCTGCAATTAACCCTTCTATTTCTGGCTGTTTTACTGGATAGAACCCTGCATCTAAAACAAAGAAATAAATAAATTTGTGTTCTTAGTCTGTTATGGCCACAGGGGTACGTTTTTGAAATAGCTGTAGAGTGACGATGTGTGGGTTGAGTATAGATAAGTGGCCTCACAAAGAAAAACTGTACTTATAATCACACAAGGATATTATGTCCCACCCACAGACAAACTAGTTCAATTGGTCTGGGATAAGGCTTGGGATCAGTATTATTTTCAAAGCTCCCCCACATGATTTTAATAGGCAGAAGAGGTTAAGGATCACTGCTCTAATGGGTGGAATAAACCCATTACATTGAGACAAAAAGTTATCAATTAGGCTAGAAGAGTGGGAGCAAGACAAGGCTGGGAGATCCTGTCTCATATGTGACTTGTCGGTGTAGTACAGTGTGCCTCTCCAGAGTTCAGTCCCACCCAAATACACAGGTGAGTGACTCTCCCTTCAGCTCTACCACCACTTTGGTTGTAAGTGCCCTTTGACCTAAGAAGTTGGAGGTGACTCACTTGAGTCCTCTGCCACACAGGGCAGTCTGGATGAGGTTCAGCAATGGCTCTGAGCACAGGCAAGTATCCCTTCCATTGGGCCATCCGAGCATGATCTGTAGGGTGCTATTGATGAAAGACCCCCTTACGCTCCCCAGCAGTGGCAAAAAGAACAGCTAATATAACCCTTTGGTTTAGGCAACAGAGGGATTCACTTAGATGGCAGGAGATGAGCTGGGAGTGATCTGCAGTCTCTTCTTGCAGGAGTCCTACTGTCTGTGGGGCTCTTCCTCAAGGCCTCCCTCCACCCTCCCAGGTCCCTGCTCTCCCCCAGCCTGGAGAACTAGGGTGCCAGGGGCTTAGTCCAGCTTTTGCTCTAGCCTCTTTCCAATATGCGTAAAGCCCAATCCCTGGTGCTTCCGGGACTTCCCTTTTGATTCTCAAGAGCCTTTTCTTCTCTCAACAAAATCTGCTTCTCTGCAAATAAAAGGCTTTGGCTTTCAAAACTATTGTTTTTGATGTGGGCTTCAAGAGGCTATTTTAAAAGTCTGGAAAACTGAACATTGACTGTTTTATTCTGTTTCTTTCTCTTTGCATTCCAGTTGTACCAATCTTAATTCTCCTCAAAGCAATGCCTCTGACTTACTAGGGAAAAGGTCAAGTGGAAAAAGTGTAGCAAAGCACGAAGAATAATATTTCAATATACTCTTTATAGAGAAATACTGCAATGTTGACCACTCCACTCCCCCACCCACAAAGCCCTGACAAGTGAGCCAGTCAGGATGTTCTGGCTGAGTCTACACAGTCAGAGTAAAGAGGAGAATCAAGATTTATCTTGATAATAAAACTTCTAAACACAATTATTAAAACACTGTTTTCTTCAACAAGTCAATGACATGAAAACAAGGAGGGGTTGAGATTAAAGAAACAGAGATAGGACAGTTTTGTTTGGAGTCTGTTTTGAACAAACCACCATCAAAATACATATTTGAGATCAAGCAAATTTGATTGTGGCCTGGGTATGAGATGTTACCACAGAATTATTGTTAAGTGTGACAATAGTATTTTGGTTATATAAGGGAACATTTTTTTTTTCGTTTTTTAAAACCAGATGCATACTGAAGTATGTGTGGATGAAATGATAGGCTGTCTGGGTAAAAGAATAGAAGAAAAGAGAAAAGAAGGAAGGGAGGAAGGGAGGAAAAAAGATAGGAAAGAAAAGAAAATGTAAAAACCAGATACTGTGACAAAAATTAAAAACAAACAAAATACAGGATAGATGAATCAAGTGTGGCAAAATTATGGTAATTGTTGGATTTTAATGATATGGGGATTCATTACAGTATTACTTTATTTTTTTGTGTAAGCTTAAAAGTTTT